CAGAGGAATTAGTTTAATCAATATTGCCTCTAAACTTCTCGCCGGTATCATACTCCGTCGATTGTCTGCCGCACGTGAAGAGTACACGCGTGAGAACTACGCTGGTTTTAGGCCTGGTCGATGTTGTATCGATCATATCTTCACTGTTCGCCAAACTCTGGAGCTCCGACATTCTTTTCGTAGACTCACCATCTCTATCTTCCTGGATCTTAAAGCCTCCTTCGACTCAGTCGACCGCTCTAAACTCTGGCGCTGCCTTTCCCTGAAGGGAGTGCCCCAGAAGTTAATTTCAATATTACAACTGCTCTATATTAAATACCCAAAGCCGAGCCCGAGCGTACGGCACGTTTTCACCCGAATTCACCACGGAAAGTGGTGTTCGTCAGGGTTGCCCTCTCTCTCCATTTCTATTTAACTTCGTTATAGATCTGATTATGGAAACAGCCCTATCCTTGTGCAAGGATAGTGGCATCGATTTACTCCCAGGTGGCAGACTGTCTGATCTAGAGTATGCAGACGACATTGTGCTACTAAATGAGGATCCAGGTAAGTTGCAAGCTTTTCTGGATAGTTTGAGTGCTAGCGATGTTCGGCATGCGTTTTGCACCTTCAAAGTGTAAAGTGCTACTACAAGACTGGATTGGTCCAGCCTCCAGCCTTACTCTAACTGGAGAAGTAATAGAGCAGGTGTATAAGTTTTGTTATCTGGGCAACTACATCTCACGCGGTGGACGCATGACGGATGAAGGTTCAGCTCGCATACAGAAACTTGAGACATTTGTGGCGCCGTCGCGACATCCGGCTGTCTGTGAAGGGTCGAGTATATGCTGCAGTAGTTCGGCCAGTTCTCCTATATGGAGCAGGAACTTGGCCATTAAGAAAACAGGACAAAGATAGGCTGTCGGTGTTTGAACACCGCTGTCTACGCAGCATTACACGAATCTGATGGGGCAGCCGGACGAGCAATGCTGAGGTCAGACGAAACGTTCTAGGCAATCGCGGTCGCCCACTGGAACAGGTGGTCGACCTCCATAGATTACACTGTTTGGGGCATGTCTTCAAATAGGTTGCCAAGGCGAGCGATGTTTGCCGAGGCAGATAGTGGGTGGAAGAAAGCCAAGGGTAGTCAAGCTAAGATCTGGCATGAGGGTGTGAAAACCCTAACCAGGAGACTGGGTCACACAGATCCCGTTAGGCTCCCTGGATGGGGTCTTCGGTACGGTTGTACCCGATGGTCAGAAACCCTGAGTGATATGGCTGGGTGTCGTAAACAGTGGCGTTCGTGCATCTCAATTTCACTGTATAATTAATACACTGAACTTCTCAACCTTCTCTTCGATCCTAATTTCAACCTTTCTTGTCTTTCTCCTAATGTTCATCCAAATGAGTAGCCGAAAGATAGCGACCAAAACCGGCGCACGATAGTGCATGGATAATAGTTGTGCCAAATGAAACTGAATATATATATATATAATAAGTAATATTTAAGTGACAAGATTTTCCTGGAAGCACACGACAGGTTTCGTGGTTCTCATCGCTCTACAGACACGCGTATCCGGTAATCTGTTGTCACTTGTACCCAGGAAGTGTATCTTCATCACAATAACCTCATTTAAAACAGCGTTTCATTTTCATCATCATACGGCGAAATACAGTGAAGCGAACTTCACCGATCGCTGCCAAACTCGCAATGCATAGTTTGTGTATGCATTGGGGTTTGATGGACAGGTACTGCTATGGTGTCAGGCACTAAGCAAGAGGGACAGCTCTTTCTGAACCAGTACATTGAAAAAACAATACTAGATTCGGTATTTTGTAGCTGGGTTAGGTGCTACTAACCGCAACGAACGTGACTTGAGCGTTTTCATAAAATATTTGATGATAAGTGGTGTTCGAATGACTCAAAAAAATTCCTCGTGCATTCTTGTAATCTTGTAAGTGCAAGTTTCCTGCGCCATCCCCTGTCGACAGCCAGAATTTGTCCATTTTTCACTAGCAAAGTTAGATTTTAGTTCGTTGAATGCAATTTGAAACCTGCTCCTTCTTCAAGAGTTTCGAGATTATGGTATTCTGATGTTCTTTCAGGTTGCCAGATTGTGTAGCACAATATGACTATCGTTTTGCTTTCCGATTGCAGTTGGTCCAGGCATTTACTCGTGGCGATGCTGATGTTGAGGCAACTTCAGACGGAAAATATTCCATATTTGGTGGGAATATCACCGGCGTTTTCGGCCTCCTGGTAAGTCGAGTTCATCCGAGGATATTTGATTTCTTTTGAGTCATTAATCTAGAAATCGTTGTATTTTGCGCACTCTGTTCTACCAGATCCCGTAGTTGCGTCTGAACTGTTGCTTAGAAATTCCCTTCCATCAATTTCTTTGTTGTAAAAAATGTCATTGAACAGTTTATCACTTTACTCCGCTTCTGGCGTTCAGTGGTGGTGCAGTTGCCTTTCTGTTCTAAATTGCTCATGTAATAGATCGGCGAACAAGCTTGTTTTCGGCTTTGAACTCTTTGGCTATCGCGTTNTTTATTTGCAATGTGTTCTGCGTGACCTGGTGGACAAATCTACATCAGTTCGAAAGTTGCAAGATATCTCGTCGTCTGATTTTCGATTTTTCACGTTTAATACATTTTTAAAATCCCTTCACCGTTCGCATAAGCGAGACTGTTATTTATACCCAATCAGGGTTCTTTTCACAGCAACCTAGAAGCCATTGTTCTTTTTGTCATGTAATGTTTTTGTCCTTTGATTTTTTTTGTCTCTTTCTGATTTTGAAGTGATTATCGCAATTAGCAGGTTGATTTTTGAGGTGGGAAACACTCGTTTCCTAGTTAATTTTAACAGACGCTTACTGCAAACCATGGGTTCACTGTACATGAACTATTGCATCACTGTGAACGGTATTGGGAACCGTTTCGTTTCTTCACAAACTTCTTTTTGTATTGTATTGTGATGACTTGTGCAGGTAAATTATGCGTACATTTCAGACAAAAATGTGTTCATCATTGAGTGAAAAATTAAAAAGCCATATACAACTATGATAAAACTTTAAGAGGAAGATCACCTTTGTAGGTTTAAAATTGGTTCATTTCGTATCTTCTTGTAAGTCAGAATACGAGCCAGATAAAGTGACGTTCAATTGCACCAAAGTGTTTATGCGGGAGGGTGAGCAGCGATAATTGGATCGAGTTGTAACATGAGAACGGTAAGTAGATAGATCGGGATGTAGCGGGTTACTGTGGTCGTTGAAATTCCCGTGAAGTAATATGAAAATCACACAATTGTGATTAGTGCTTAAGGCAAACTAAGCCATTTATTTTCTGCAGAACCACCTCGTCCATCTTTCATTTTCCAATGACTGGCCTTCGATTCGTTTAACCTTACCGTAACTGCTCCCTTAAGTACTCCATTGGAGAAGTTCCTGTTACTTTTGCCGTGCACAAGTACCCAAGGTTGATTCCGAGAGAACCTCACTTGGTTAACCGGGTTTACCTCCAGAAGCAGTGTCCTTCAGAGTTTTCCTCTTTCTCTTTTGATGTCTATTAGACGTGAGTTGATAAGTGACTATTCTTTGTAGGTTGATTGCAGCATCGACTTCTTCCTAGACGTTCGATTGCACGACTTGGAGCATGTGGATGACATCGTCTTACTACGTCAAGTTAAGTAGCTAGGCTCGTCGTGTCTTACGCACTCATTGTGGAAAATTCTTAATGATTATTAGGCCAATTCTGCACTAATTGGGGAGGCAATAATAACGAGGTAAATTTAATAGCTTGGTTTGTCTCGTATCTCGTCCGAAATGTAATGTCATCGCACATACTGGGGTTTACTACGGTGGCGACTTAATGTGAACATTTATGATGGCTCGGCTTCCGGTTGTTCAATTAAGATCTATCCGATTGCGCTGTGGCACAGGGTAGTAGCCAGTACAGTTAGAAGCTGTACACCGCTTTATTAATAATAAGTAGTACGTGAGTAACTAGACGAAATTTCCGTGGAAGCACACGACCGGTTTCGCGTATATACATATATACGCATGCCTGACGAACGGCAAGAACCGCGTAACCGGTCGTGTGCTTCCACGAAAATTTTGTCCAGTTATATATATATATATATATATATATATATATATATATATATATATATNATACACCCTTTTGTGATAAACAGCAGGCTGCACGAACGCCATGGTTACGAAAAAATGTTCACTCATGGCTGAAAGCTAAACTGTAGGGCTGTCGAAAACGGTAGCACTTATGTGTGCACTCATTTTTAATGAGGATCTTGATTTCTTGCATTCTGTGTTTTTTGATCACGAGGTGAGCCCTTTTTATCTCACCCCTATCTTTGATCGATTAGCTGGGTAACTGGATGTTACCTTTCAACATCGGTTTACCGGTTTCAGGTAGATGCTTTTTCGAACTGGTGTGACTGACAAATTTTTGCAATACCACTCCAAATAAAAAGCCCGTCATCTCTTGATGCGACATCACAAATCAGGGTGGAACTGTGACGAATTTTAGGGGGTTTGGATGGCTGTTTCTTGGTGTTCTTCGAACTGTGATTCCTATAGCTCCTCATGTACCATAACACGACATGTGAGCAAATCTGGTTAAGTCAAGGATAATTCTGTGTATCCTCAAGTTCACTGTCATGTTAATTATCCACGAAACAGCCTGTTTCTTTTCTGGCCAATCAAATTGGTTCTATAGAACTTTCACGGTCTTTTCTTGAACTGGGGATGCAATATCGATGGTTCTGTTTTGATGCTCGTAAAAGCCAGTTGGTTTTATACCCCCGGAAAATTTCATTAATGATGCGGTTTTAGTCGATGTGTTCGTTACTAACGAGACGATTTTTTTAACTTTGTAACCTGTGTAGTTACAGATTTCTCATCGATAATGTATGGTAACAAACCAAATTCTCATTTTCTCTCTTGCAAAATGTATTTCAAACTGCGTTCTATGGTAAACACTGTTTTCCGTTCTAAAAATTGTTTCTAACCCGGAAGCTACTGCTGATCTCTGCAGTGTGTTATGCCCCTAACAAGATTGTTACGATAAATTGTACTGTATCATGCACTAGAAAAATTAAAAAACGGTTTGATCAGCTACCCTGTGATCAAGCGAAGTTCCACGTTCGACCCTAAGTTGGGTCAGTGAATTGGCACTGGTGGTGAGACCCAACCAGTTTGAAACAGTTGTACAGTGCTTTCCAGCTTTTCAGTTCGACCTCCATTTTTTTATTACACTCGCCTGTTTGATGAGCAGCAGACGGGATGGAGCCGATAGTGGCGAAAACCTGCTGTTTAATGATGGGATCGGTAACCTAAACCCCGGGAGTGGCAAAATACACAAGGCCCTGTCGGGTCAGTCGTCGTATTGAACCGGGCGGCAGCAAAACTGCCTACCACGAGTTGTTCTGCACATGACGAAACTCGTCATATCGTTAAATATTATCCACTACTCATGTTATTGCGTTCATTGAAGTTCGCAAATAATTGGAAGTTGAATTGCTGAATATGTTCCAAGAACAAACCACAAAACATGTCTGTAAGCTCTAACCACCATCTGCAGGGTTTGTTTTGGGGCTTCTTTCGGAGTATCGTCAACGATGCTTTGGGAATTTATCCTTAGGGTGTACAGTTTCGCTGTTATCAATTGTGTTTAAGTCATTCACTGGTTGCTGGTGGCATCTTGATTTCTATTCTTCAGTGTTTCTGAGGTAGTCAGATGGCCAAACATGTCACAATGCAGCATGAATGTTTGGGTTTCAGTGTTCATTCTTGGTGTTTACGTTTTCGGATAGTTTATTAAATGGAGTAAGTCTATTGTAATACTTATTTTTAAGGAGCACGAGAAGCTCATTACTGTTCGCTGTGTAGTTATTATTATTGTTATTATTATGTTAGTTTAGTTCGCATGCACGTGCATTGCAGATCAGTGATTAACTAATTAACCTTGCTGCTATTTGTTATCGATTTCATGCCATCTGTCTACAGACTCCTGGAAAGACCATCGAAATGCGATGGCGTAAGCGTGATTGGCCCGAAGAGCACTACAGCCAGCTATCTCTGGAACTGAGTCCGTTCGAGGGGGGCACCCGTCTAAATCTGACGCAAACTGGTGTGCCAGGTTACGATTTGGAGAACACGACAAACGGTTGGCGGTCAAACTTCTTCGCTGCTCTGAAACAAACATATGGTTATGGAGGTCGAATGTTCTAACTGTTGTTCATAAGCGCCACAGAAAGAAAGAGGAAAAAAGAGTAGCTCTCGCTTGCAAGTTGCTCACTCGCGCGCACACACGCGCTATCAAACACACGCGTCACCGTCAGTCAACACGACCGGGTGACGCGGGTTCAGTCCGGGCGCAGCTTTTGTGTCTTCTCACTTTGCCTCGTTGCCACAGTCAAGTGACAATACACATTTTCGCCACCTGCGTTTTCATCCTTTCTCATTTTGGCTTACCGACATCCACCCACACGAGTGCAGAATCATCTCAATGAGCTTTGGTAGTCTTTGTCTCTGGAGCTCAGCTGGGATTCCGTTCCTGGTTGCATAGTTGAAAAAGCTATCTATCAAAATGCATATGAGCATCTTATCGTTCACCCGAAATCTACCGAGTCAAGTCTATGTATGCACTGGTAGACTATGTTAAATTTTGCTCGCTTTTGTTTGTGAGTATGGATGCAAAAGAACGGAATCGGCGNATCGGCGGTCTACGAAAATTCTCGGAAATGTTGGATAATTCGAATGAGAGAGAGACGCCAACCACCGTTTGTGCTCATTATTTTGTTAGAAATCGGGTATCGTTGGCATCTGTTACTCAGAAGGCTGTGGTTAAACTACTCCGTGGCGTACGATTGGTCGCCCCAGTTTTTCAATGCAGTCAATGTACATGAACAGGTGTTGTGAATGCAGAATGATCTTTGTAATGACCTGGAATTGGCTTGTAGTCTGGAGTGCACGTCATTAGGCTCGTCGGCCACAACCGATTGGGATTGAGGGTGTAATTGGTAATGTGGACGTATGGGTTGTGCAACGATGAATCTGTTTTCCATGGAAGCATGCCCACACAATCTGGATCAGACGCTTACCGACAAAAGTGAGTTAGTGAGATAAAACCAAATGGTGACCCAGCGTCTCATGTTTAACTATTGGCTCTTCGTGCCAAAACCAATCGAAGACCTTGATTACACTTGTTAAACTGCTGCGGTGATCAGTGATGTAGCGTTTCATGCCACACTATCTGATAGTGGAGTTTTAATTAGTGAACCACGCTTGGAATCTCGCAATCTAGGTAGTAGTGGGCAGTTTGGTTTTGTATTCTGTAAGCTGTGCCATAAACACATATGCTAACATTTCAGTTTCAAAGGACGCAAACTTTCATTTAATATGTTATACCAACAAAATTCTTTGCAGATTTCACGAAACTAGCTTCAGGTCTAAGGTTACGATAGAGTTCACTTTTTACCCTTTCGCCTTCTTTGAATATATGAGCGAGTTTCGCTAGAGGGATTTACGAGATGGTATGTATCTGAATTCCCAGCTTATGAAGGAATAATAACGACACGATGATTCAGTGTGCAGAGTTTTTGCGAAAATCCTTCCCGTAAGGCTAACAGGAAGCTAATGGGCTTACTCACGAAAATTGGGGGAACGCGACAAGTAATTGTCATACTTAGGCTTTTGACTACTGAATCAGGGGACTCGGATCAAATGTTTGCGTACAGTGTTACGTGTGATTTGGCGCACAGCATAAAAAGATGGAGTGTAGGAAGAACGAGAATGCGCAGAGGATGGAACATTGTGAAAATGTAGTCGGAAGCGGGGTCTGATCCAAAACACTTGGAGGTGGTCCTGTCCAAGTTGCAGATTTTGAAGAGGAAAAGTGGCGGGTCTTTTAGAACCTCGCCTAGCAGTTTCTTATTCGTGTTTGATGCACGTCAGGCGTGAAAGGAATTCGGCTATCAGGTAGACTGCTATCCCAACTGCCAGGTCATATTCTTTAAAGAGTGAGTGAAATTTCTCCTAGCAGAGTGGGAGTGTCTGTTTCGAGGATAGTACTAACGACATCATTGGACAGATTGAGAGCGGCTGACACTCAAGGGTTCATTTTCAGATCCCTCAGACCAGAATAACTAATCAAAGTTGTATGCAATTGAAGCTGTTTTCATTGCGTTTCATGACACAAGCGCTCGGAAATCCAACCGTAAAACGTTGGGGAACCATGTTTTGTACTGAACAAAGGGGAAATTGCTGGTCATTCTCGATACCACGCCCATAGGATCATTCTCCAGTCTCGCATTCAGAGATTTGATTGGGCTTGGCTGCAAATTCACCGTCCAAGAAGTATACCATCATTGACCATTCAGTTCATTCGCCCCTGAACTACCGACAGTTTTCAGCTAGTGTCGCATGTCAAAATCATAGAAGAGCCAGTTAAACCGCATGCATTTGGTGCTATCGGAGGTGCTGTATTGATGGAATTAATTAAAAATAATAGGCATTCCCGAAAAGTGATGTTTGCCATACATGGCGCCGTGAGTGGTAAATAGCAGACGGGCCGGACCCCAGAGTCACGAAGACCTGTTCAGTGATGGTAACCGGCAACCGAAACC